AATAGGAGCAATTTGAAGCTAACAACATGAAAAATTTAGAAGTTCTGCATTTTAATTAATTTTTTTAATGAATGGGTTTTCAAGGTCCTCATAAAAAAAGAGCACTGAAAGAGTCCTTCACATGTTCCTTGGGAAAAAGTTGCACAAAAATGGTGCTGCAACCCAAAAGTCCCAGCAGTGACCTCGTGGCGCAGTGGTTAAAACGCTGTACTGCAGCTAAAACTGTGCTCACGACCTGGGGTTCAAATCCCAGGTAGCCGGCTCAAGGTTGACTCAGCCTTCCATCCTTCCGAGGTTGGTAAAATGAGTACCCAGCTTGCTGGGGGGGCAATGTGTAGCCTGTATAATTAAAAATTGTAAACCGCCCGGAGAGTGCTTGTAGCGCTATGGGGCGGTATATAAGTCCAATAAATAAATAAATAAATAAATAAATAATTTAATTATTAGCAGATTGCACTTTTAATCACATGGACACTAGGGTGGTGTTCCACAGGTATCTGTAGAAATAATCAAAGTACTGTAAACAAGAATCTAAACAAATGAACAGAAATAAGAGAAAGGCTAAAATAACAAATCTAAAATGAACAACATTATCATTTAAGATGCCTGGTTGAAGAACAGCTCCAAGATTTTTAATGCCAACCCAAATCATAGCTGAGCTGGCAGAACATTTCAAATCCAGGGCAATGCTACAGAAAAGATTCCCCCCCCCTTTTTTTTATGCTACATGAGGTGCTTCCCCTGCAAACAATAACTGACAAACAATTTCATCTGAATATCTCAAGATAGTAGTAAGTTGATACAGGAAAAGGCACTCCTTTAGACATTTGGGGCCCAACAGCTACGTAGGAATTTGAAAGGTAAATACTCAGACAAAGGTAGTACAAGATATCCCACCGTCTGAGACACCACATCCTCGTCCTGCCTCGAAGCACAGCAGCCCTGCTATTCCTGCACAGGAAAAATCATAACTGACAGCTGGATGATAGAAACCTCTCTGAACCACTATGGCCACTTGGGCCTAAAGTTGAAAATGCTGGGTCAAAAAGTGTCTCAAAACTGCACACCTGCTCTTTCAGGGAGAGAACAGTCCTGTCCAGAAGAGTTCATACATTACTTTCCTGGACTTGAAAATCAGGTGCCTACAGCCTCTCTGTTATGCCAGGATTCCATTTCAGTTTGTTTGTTCTTATCTGGTCCATTGCTCAATTCAAACATCAATTCGATAGCTCTGTGGATGATCTTACAGAATTTGAGGGCCAAATTTTTGACCCCACCTTTTCACCACGGGTGATACTAGGCCAACATATAACCATTTCCAGCCTTTTAAAAAAAATGAAAATAGAAAATGCACTGAGAGACACTTCCAGTTGAGGGGGAAAGTAGAACAGCTCAAAGGCCTCCAAACTGAGAACTACCAGTTTTCATTGCTTCCAAAATTAGGCGCTTTTTTTTTTTTTTTTTTTTTTTTTTTTTTTTTTTTTTTTTTTTTTTTTTTTTTTTTTTTTTTTTTTTTTTTTTTTTTTTTTTTTTTTTTTTTTTTTTTTTTTTTTTTTTTTTTTTTTTTTTTTTTTTTTTTTTTTTTTTTTTTTTTTTTTTTTTTTTTTTTTTTTTTTTTTTTTTTTTTTTTTTTTTTTTTTTTTTTTTTTTTTTTTTTTTTTTTTTTTTTTTTTTTTTTTTTTTTTTTTTTTTTTTTTTTTTTTTTTTTTTTTTTTTTTTTTTTTTTTTTTTTTTTTTTTTTTTTTTTTTTTTTTTTTTTTTTTTTTTTTTTTTTTTTTTTTTTTTTTTTTTTTTTTTTTTTTTTTTTTTTTTTTTTTTTTTTTTTTTTTTTTTTTTTTTTTTTTTTTTTTTTTTTTTTTTTTTTTTTTTTTTTTTTTTTTTTTTTTTTTTTTTTTTTTTTTTTTTTTTTTTTTTTTTTTTTTTTTTTTTTTTTTTTTTTTTTTTTTTTTTTTTTTTTTTTTTTTTTTTTTTTTTTTTTTTTTTTTTTTTTTTTTTTTTTTTTTTTTTTTTTTTTTTTTTTTTTTTTTTTTTTTTTTTTTTTTTTTTTTTTTTTTTTTTTTTTTTTTTTTTTTTTTTTTTTTTTTTTTTTTTTTTTTTTTTTTTTTTTTTTTTTTTTTTTTTTTTTTTTTTTTTTTTTTTTTTTTTTTTTTTTTTTTTTTTTTTTTTTTTTTTTTTTTTTTTTTTTTTTTTTTTTTTTTTTTTTTTTTTTGGTAAAAACAGTACATGCTTTATTGCTTGATTATTTTCTTTTGCTTTGGTTTGGTTTTGGTCTTCAAACATAGGAGACCTGGGAGTACAAAAATACCTCTTGGAGGTCACATGTAATCTGAGGCCACACGATGTTCTATCCACTGCTCTACATCCCAACTCAATTCAGATTACACAGAGAAAGAGAGCAAGGTGTTGTCAAAGTACCAATGACAGCTCACTCCCACATTCTTTGCTGCACCTCATGTTTAGCCTTGAGAAAAGTAGACTAGGGAGTGATATGATAAAACTTTTCAAATAACTAAAAAGTAATCTTGCAGAGGAGAAGCAGGATCCGTTCTCGATCATCCCAGACTGCAAGAAATGTAATAATGGGCTCAAGCTACAGGAAGCCAGATTTAGGCTGAATATCAGGAAAAACGTGTTATAGCAGTACAACAATGGAACCAATGACCTCAGGAGGTGGTGAGCGCGCCAACACTGGAGGCATTCAAGAGAAAATTGGACAACTGTCTGTCAGATCTGCTTTGATTTGGATTCCTGCACTGAACAAGGAGTTGGACACGATGGCTTTATAGGCCTTAAGTTCTCTGAGAGCTTGAATGCATAAAGCCTCAAAAGTCTTTCATTAGGTTCTTCATGTTATAGCGTTTGAATACCATGTCACAGACAAAAACATGGCTTTGGGGAAAAAACATTTCCCCACTTTTTTCCAGGCCTTTCCCTCTCTGCTTCCAACTCAATTATTATATGATTATATGATTCAAGGCAACACATCAGGTTAAGGGAGCATATGATAGACCATGTAACATACATAGGTTTCTTCTCCCACACTGTACAGTTGCTCCCTGCATTTTCAACACACACTGGCTGAAGCATAACTCCCGCCCCCCCAAGCTGATTTGCGCATGCATGCACACTCCAGCACACCTGTGTGAGCGCATGCATGCACATGCACCCGTGTGAGTGCCGTGCCACCGTTTGCACATGCGCACAAGTGCACCTGCCCGCACAAGCACTACCGTTTGTGCATGCGTGTGTGCTCATTGTGCATGCGCACAACCGCAGGGGTGCCCCACCTTCCCCAGCCAGTCCACGGGATGAAAAAGGGTTGAGAACCCCTGATTTAAACATTCCAAGCTGCACTAGTATGTGTTTCACAGCCATCTTTAAAGGCAGCCACATACTGAGTTTATTACCATTGTCTAATCTAGATATCACTAGCGGATGCTTAGGCAAAATCTTCTAAATTTTGGCAAGATCTTCTAAAGAGAATTAGAATTACAAACAAGGACATGCTGCTAAAGGGAGGTTCTTGATATTGACACCACCTACACTTTCAGAGATAGTAAGACACCTCAAATAAGACACCCCAGGCTGTGCACTTGATCCTTCAAGATAGATACAAACTTTTGATTTATCTTGTTTGCTCTGACAATCACAAAACAAACTATGAACACCAGTTTTAGAGTTCCAAATCTTCCTTGAAGTTGGTAAATGGAAAAAACACACAGCTCTATGCCTACTTTATACATTGGGGGGGGGTGATGACTTTGAGCACATCATAAGGCAGGATTCACTGGGAAAGATAATAATGCTGGGAAAGTTGAAAGACAGGAAAAGAGGAAGATTAAATACAAGATGGATTTACTCTCTAAAGGAAGCCACAAGCTTGAATTTGCTAGAGCTGAGCAGGGCCTGTTGAGGGAAGGGCATTTTGGAGATTGCTGATTCATATGGTTGTCATAACATGGAGGCAACTTGATGACATGTAACAACAACAACACATTTATACTTTGTTCCTCTTGCACTCTGATTTTCCCGGTCACCTCTAGGGTTCCAATTAAATGTCAAGAAACTCCCTGACTATCAAGAGAAAAACACCTACATGTGATATACAGCTGTTCTAGTTTAAAATGGGGAAACCCAATGTTGCACCTCTCAAGGGGTAAAAAAAAAAAATAGAAAATAATTAAGCAAAAAATTCTCCCACACCTCAACGAAAACTGGCATGCAGAATGACATTTTGTGTGCTTTCGGAATACGCTTTACAAGTGGACACTAAAAGCTTTCTTTCTAGAGATGATGCAAAGCACAGGTATAAAAGATGGAAATGCTAACCTGTGTTCTAGTTTCAGAATTGAAAATACTTCAGAAGTTACAACCACATGTTTCAAAATGATTCAAAAGCTTCCTATCTTTGACACTTCGATTATGCTTCTTCAAGGTAGCATTCTGAAGTTTCCAAAAGCAATTTCTATGAGGCCTTAAATAAGTATACATTTGGGGCACTTCAGTGGAATCAGCGGCAGAGAAGAAAACCAACTGTCATGGTTTGCTTCATCCTTTTAAGGCACCCCTTCTTTCAACAGCAAGCAGATACTTTAAAACATATCATATCTATAGAAAATATTTGATTTTCAATTGTTATAATCATCATTATTATTATAATCAGCACCATCTTAGAACTTCAGAGCTAAAAAGGTCTCTATGAATCATTGAGTACATTCCCTGTCAAGGAGGCACAGTGGGAATTAGAACTCCCAACCAACCTCTGGCAAGCTATCCAGAGTTAGGACTGATATTGCTTCTTTTTTCCTGTCAATTGCCCATTTCATCAATTTCTATTCCCCAGCTCCATACCCCAAACCATTCCCAGGGGCTCTCCTACCATCACAAACAGAATGGAAAGGGGAAGACAGTGAACTGTGAAAAGGTAGAGGAAAAGCTCCTTTCCATTCATGCAAACAATTCAGTGTTGTTATAGAGAAGATAACTGATTTTACACAGACCTGACTGTAGTGTTGTTTATGCTAGAACGGAGGAATGTCAAGTTTTCTAAATTCACAGGTTCTGTTTTATATTCATAGCGGGTCGGAGTAAGGTGACTATATTTTCAAAGATGACTCTGAAATGTAAGTACATATCAATAATAAGAGGACAAGAACTGAAGTTCATCTCCATCTTGCAATTTTATATCAGCACACATAGTTTTGGAATTTGGTTAAGTGACAGATTCATCTATCTATCTATCTATCTATCTATCTATCTATCTATCTATCTATCTATCTATCTATCTATCTATCTATCTATCTATCTATCTATCTATCTATCCATCCATCTATCCATCCATCCATCCATCCATCCATCCATCCATCTTCACTTTTATACCACCCATCTGGCCGAAGGTATGAAACTTTGCATGTATGAATTATCCAGCAATCAAGTCAAGAACTCTGTTAAAACTCAATATTAAATTCTAATGTAAGCTGAATCAAATTACTATAGTGCAAATATAGGAATGAACTATAAAACACTGTTAGCTTTAAGAAATTCCCCTCCCACATACACAACCAAAACGATTCTTAACTTTGAATTCAATAAGGGGTTTAGGCACAGGACAATGGTGGAGGAAAACGTGTGGGTGGGAAAGAATATTACACATACATCAGAAGCATTGACAGTACCATAGATATAGTTAGATTATTAAATATTCAGCAGCTATTTACAATAGCTCAAAATCATGTCTTCATCATTAAACAACAGAAATGAATAATTTACTATGGTTATTTAGACTTCGACTGCTGACACCTATCTCTTCATTTCCCAAACTGAGGAGGTTATCCAGTGTTCAAGAAAATGAACAGAAATTTACACACACACACAGCCTACAACATTCATATATGTGCAGTTCTGGACATGCGTCTCTGCCTTACAGCCAGAAGCAAAAATGGTAACTAGGCATTAAAAAAAGCATATCAGGTTTCCTGCCAATATATTTCTGCAAAACCTACTAGAATTTACTGCAGTCCACCATTGTGGTTACTTTTCAGAAATTCCATAGCGAAAATACTAAGAGAGAAAGTAATAGCAGCTGCAACATAATTTTGAGAGCCCTGCCAGGTACTCAAAGTTACCCTCTCTGGTCCCACAAGTCAATTAGGTTGCTAATAAATTTAAGCCACATTCATGAGAAACTGTTACTACAAAAGAATGAATTTTGAAATGATTGCTCCTTCTGCACAAGGTAACAAGCATGAGATACATTTTCCAAGGAATGATTTGTTCATTATACAATCATATGTTATTAAAGAACCTTACTTCTTGATTACATAAGAAATTGGTTTTACTTCTACCCCAGTATTGTTTCCCATTTATACTTATTTACATTTTTCCATACAAATGTAGAGCTGATGTTCCTTCTCTATACAATTGCACTGGTCTTCACCCAGTGAGCTGAGTCATATTAATACCTCTAAGAGTTATATGAAGAAGGGCACACCAACAGCACTATCATCATCATCATCATCATCATCATCATTAGCACTATCATCATCACCACCATTTTAGAACTGCAGAGCTGGAAGGGACCCTATGATCCAGCCCCTATCAAGGAGGCACAGTGGGGAATTGAACTCCCAAACTCTACCTCAGCAGCCAGATATCAAAATCATCGAGCAACCCAGAAGTTCTTGGAAACATATGAAATATATGGCTTTAAAATCCCAAAACTAAAATGGTCCTTTCCCCCCCACACACAAAGCCCTGATTCAAAGAACTATACAAACAACTAAATAAGGAACAGGAATGCTTCGAGAGGAAGGAGGAAAAGAATCAGCCTTTGCTCTTGTAGCCAGCAAAACTGCCTGCCAAATACTAAACTTACCAGAAAATATGGATTTCTAACCCACAAAGTTCATTTACACAAAGGAAGGAGTATGTTGTCCCTGACTGACCTGACTTCTGCAATTGTACTGCCCTTTAAAGCATCTTATAATCCAAAAATTTCAACAACTAAGAAAACTGGACAAACATAAGCCCCCCCAAAAAATGTACAAATCCTGTTCACTCTTAAAAACTACCCATTTTTAAGACGTTTTAAATGAGGGATGCTTTCAGCACTCGTTCCTATATTCGTAGAAAGATAAGTAAAGACTACTGTTAACATTTTACTTTCCCACTTCCTACAGGATTTTTTCTATTCATTGTTATTTACTGGCACTAGAATTATTACATCAAAACAATCTCTGTAAATATGTATTGGATCCTTACTGGACAATAGGCAAAAGGAAGCAGGCGGCAGGAGTGGAAGATTTCCTTTTTTGTGTGAGTTCAAACCTTAATTTTGGAGTTTAGCAACAATCATTATGAGAAGACAGCCACCATGGGACTTAAAATTGTACTGTATGAACATGACACAACATGCACACCCCAGCACTAGTACCTCCCACTATGCTGTCCTACAAAAATACTTTATCACTCAGTTGAAGAAGTTGAATTTACACTCTATTACTTACAGGTCCACCAGCATTAGAATCAGTCTAATTTACTTGAAGAAAAGAGAAAGCAGAAATAAGAGGAAGGAATATAGTGTGCTTAGGTTAGTTTCTGATATATGAGAATGATACTCAGAAAAACCATGGCTTCCAAACATTAAAAGAAACAAATGCACGTTGGCCATACATAAGCACAATTTTTACAGCTAAGCAGCTTGCTAATGTAACATTCTGTATAAAGCCAGCATTTCCACGTACTGTATTCTGATCTAAACAGAGACCTAGTCAATTCACCAGAAGGTATCAAACATTATCCCTTTATTACAAGCGATCCCAGAATCCCTTTGAGGCTAAGGCCATCAGAAAATATTTAGTTTGTTTCCAAGCCAATATTTTTCCTACCTCTTTTATTACAAAAAAACTGCAACACATTTTCAGTAACTTTTAGCTTTGTTGTACACCACATCAAGTGAGTTCTCAGAACTCTTGAAAAATCTAACATGCAAAATGATTCTCCAGTCAACTTGTGCATTATTAAGCTGAAAGAAGGTATGTAATATCATTTGATCATTGGAAAAACAGCAGAAAAACACTGGGAGCTTCAGGACAGATGGACGAACTTCAGGTCATATAAAACATTACCAAAGCTATATTTGAAGAAAGATGTGAAAGTGCCCTGGGTAAGACTACTCTGCGTTGCTAAGAAACACTGAAGATGGATGAAATAACTTGTCTGTGTTGAACAGAACGAACTCCAGCCATTCCTTGTTTATTTGTGAAATGTTTTCTTGTACTGATTATTCATTTTAACAAGTATACAAAAGATAGTGCCTCATTAAACCATTTAGACAGAGAGAGAGAGAAAATGAATACCATGCAAGTCTTTAAAAATAGCAAAGCTGCGGGGTGGGGGGAACATTTCTGGGGAAAAAGTCTGACTGCCATTTAAACGCAAATACACACATTAAAAGAATCTACAATGTACTACAAGGAAGGATTCTGGTGAACTTCCTGATAAGCCCAAAGACGTGTAGCTTTATGGGTTACAATACAACATGCATCAACTGCCTGTCTGAGCAGAGAACATGGCCAAAACAAAGAAGCAAAATGCAACAAAAAAAATTCACGCCATTGAGTATATAGATAACATGATACATACTTTCTTCTTTCCTAGATGGTGATTCTTGTGCAATAGCAAATTCTAAGACAAGAAGTGGCTCTCAAAGCCATGATTTTAAAATGCATCATCACTCCAGGTATCTATCTTGTTCTGACAGGACGTCTAAATCTACCATAGGCAATATGAACAAGCTCACTCACTGCCTTTACGAGAACCTCAACAAATTCAAACTGCCCACTCACATTTTCGCTGGTGTGGCCCGCAGAGTACTGTGCCCCAAAGCAGTGAGAAAAACAAATACATGAGAGTAGTATGCAGAAAATGATTCTTCCTTGTCTATAAATATCTATTGGTATTAGTGATAGCAATGGTGTCAATGATGGTGCTCAAAGCAAGCCTACCGACAACCATAAAACCTGCTGTTAAACCATCTTTGTCTTTTTCCAAAGGTGGATAATCTACATTTTGATAAAAGGAGTCGTCTGTTTCATCACTGTCATGGCACATCATCAACGCAAAAGCACCATAAATGCGATGGAAATCATTAGGAATTCAGCTCGTACATGGCGAGGGAGGGGGCTATAATACTGACCAGCCCTTGCTCACAACATATCTCTAAAAATTAAACAGTTCTAACTAGATTCAGGAATTAAAGTTCTACCAGCATGAAAAGAAAGCCAGATATGCATTGAGATCCTATGCATATTTCCTGCAAAATAAAGCTCTCTAATCTCAATAGGATTTACTCCAAAGTAAGTATCCACAGGAATGCGGCCAAATTCTCTTAATATAATTTTTCTACTAAATCTCTCAGGGCATATCTGTATCCTTCAGTGGAAGTTTTGGACTGTCTGCTTGTTCCAAGCAAAACACTACATAATTTCTCCATGGAATTAAACACACTCAGGAACACTGATGTCAGATGTACCTTAACTTTCAAATGCCCTGCTTTCGCAAGCATAATGACAATTTTCTGAACCTTCTCCCAAGACAAATTCTACCCTACAAACCTTCATTAAACATGCATGTGTTTTCCTTAAATGATATACGCTTTATGTTATCCAATTATTAAAGTCTCACAACCAAGAGCAAAATTTAAATCTCGGCTCCAACGAGAGCTGACCAAACCAAACTGATGGGATTTACCTAACTGCTGATTTACCAGGTACCATTCATTAAATGGGTTCACTTTACTGGGACTAATAATTCTATTAATTGTTTTACACACGCAAAAGCTACCCAACCAAGCTGTACATGGGCCTCAGAAGTTCTATTCTAACTTTATCTTGTAATAGTACAAAAAGTACAATTTTTGATTAAGAGCCACTTACACACTCTCACAGCACCTTCTTTCAGATTAAAATACTCCCCACCTCCATGATAGGGTGGCACCATCTTATCATGCTGCAGATCTGGCTAGTTCTCTCTGCTCCCCCAAACCCATGGAGCTCAGGACAGAAAACTGGGAACAGAGAATGAGAGAAAACCTAAATGGCTACATATTTTTAAAAAAAGAAGAAAAATGTGGCAGAGCTCCACTTCAAATTCACAGGGATAGATAAAGGAAGAGGAATGATTGGAGAAAAGAAAACACTAGAATCAACCTCCTATCCAACCTCTTAATGGGAAACTACCACAATGAAAAGACAAACTTTAAAAAAATTCCTTCAGTGCACTAGAAAGTTTTTTGAAAGTTAAAATACAACTTTATTTGCTAGAATCAAGGAAGAGAAGCTCTACAAAAAAAAATGGCAGGAACCGAGGTTACTGGAGGTTTAATTCTTGCAGTGAACAACCCAGCCTAAGCAGATTCCTGACACCAACCAGCTAGTGAATGCTAAGTAGGTGAGGAGTATTTTACAGTCTGTGTAAAATTGTTAAGCAAGTGCAATTGTTCAGCACGAGGAAAATGTACTTGTAAAAACTTTGTTCCAAATAGTCTTTGGCTCACCACTTGGTTTTTATCACCTTTAATTACTATTCAAATGTGAACAGGGTGGATTTGATTTAAACCGTGATTTGAATAAAATATGATTTAAATTTTTAAAAATGATTTTTTTATAATTTAAATTTAAAAAATCAATTTTAATTTAAATCATGATTTAAATCAATTTGATTTTATTTAAAAAAATCATTGATTTTTATTCACCTTGTATGTGAGCCTATCAAACCACATGACTTCACTGTGGATTCTGCCTCTTATCCCACCAACTTTAGCACAAATGTATGAAATTCTAGGCAGTGCTATTCAGCCATGAAACTGAGTCTGTCGTAGACTGGAGAGTGCAAAAGAGGGTGGCAGTGGCAAATGCTGTAACAGAAAATTCTAGAACATACAGGGAAGAACTAGGGATCCAAATATATTCAATATTCCAGCACATTTCAAGCTGTTAGGATTTAGGATTTGCACAGTCCATTTACCGAATGGACTGTGCAAATGCACGAAAAGCACGCCTAATGGGTTGTAGTGAGGGGCGTTAAATGTTGCCTGCTCAACCTGGAGTTGGATTTGAATGCAACGACAAACTATGGTTTGCTATAAAATTGGAAGTGAGATACATGAAGGGTAATAAAAGTATAAGCATCCGCAGCTTGTTCATGCAGCACCACGTAATTACATCTTGACTAACCCAATCTGTCATACACTGTACAAACTACAAGCCATCGTTCTGAAAGTTCTGGGTGTCAGTCATCAAGTAAAGAATTCCGCCTAGAGTTCTTGAATTTGCAGAAGACACCACATAAAAATAATTATTCTCACAGTTGTTCTATTATTTTTACAGTACTGCATTGATTTTGAATTATAAAAGGCATGCTGGCTGCATAATGACAAACATACAAATATCTGTACTGCCCTGGCTGCCCACAAAACTAAAGTAGCACCAGATTATGTGATGTTGCATAGAATGGCATGCCATGTTCGGAGCGTTTTTTTTTTCCGGCTACTACTTGCAGAGACAACAATGTGTTCAATTTTTTTAAAAAAGACACACTCATTATTTAAGAAAAAAGGGTATGTATAAGTTACTCGGCAGTGTCCCGCAACCTCAACAGAACTGATTATATTTCTCAAACATCCTACACAATTCCATTAAAAATGTGTCCAGTCCAGTTACGAGAACACCAAGTTTCTTAATTTGACGTTTCTGCAGTTAAAAAACATCTAACACAGCCATCTGTTTTATAAGAAGTCAGTAGATTAAATTAAAAAGAAAGCTAATAGTTTTAAGCAGAAGTGAGACTAATTTTTAAAGCACTGCCAGCAACAGTGATCAGGGCCATGTAACCCGACAATGATAAATCATATCCAAAAACAAAAGGAATTTATGACAACAGAAGCATTTTTTTTCTTTAAGGGGGAGGAGGGAGGTTAAGTGCAAGATCAAGACAGGAAATTGTTCTTATTAAGCTGAAAGATCATGTAATTGTTTATTTGGGAAAACTCTGATTTACCTTAAACTATGTGCAAGGTTGAAATGAGAAGGTCACTGTGTATTAAATTACAGTCCAGTAGACAACCAAGGTCAAAAGCAAATTTTCTGAAAGTTTATATTAGAAAGACCTTGAGCTTTTGTATTCACAAAATATGGCTAAAGCTCCCCTTAGGGCATCCAACTCTACCGCATATAAACCATATGAAACAAACTAAGCAGGGCAGAGAAAGTGTTGAAGGATGTTAATTTAGATATTTTTTTACATGTTTTGGGTCAAAACAGGAAACCAAGGTTGCTTTAAATTTTCCCATAAAGCTCTTGATGTGATCTAACAAGTGTACTAAACTTGGGTCTGGAAAGCTACGTATGTTGATGGGCAAGTATAGATGCTACGTGTGACACTACATTCCCAAACTCAGTTTGGGGGGTGGGGGGGAAGAAAGATGCACCATAAGCTGCCTTACAGGGCTGTTCGGGAGATCATAAAAGCAGGGATGTTACCAGCTTTTCATAACAGAGAACAATTACTGTCTCCATACAAGATAAGTGTTAAAATAAAGCCTGAAGAAAGAGGATTCCATCTGAAAAGGTTTATTATTTCCCCCCCCTCCCCTTCCATCACAGCTACAGCTCTATTTTCAGGATAACCCCTATGAAAGAAAATGTGAAGCAATTTGTGTCGGCTTTCTGCATAGTCACACATTTATTTTTAATTTCACACCGCAACTGCAGCAGTATGGTTAAGGTATATACCTGAGACATTTACTTTAAGATGTGTATGTAACCAAAACGACAACAATACTTCTCTATTTATTGGAGTAAAGCCGTGCATGATCAATGAACTAATTACTGAATTCAAAGTGTTAATATAGTTTCCTGAGGTCTGATTTTAAGAATCCACAAATGTTGGGGGGAGTGTATAAAGAAACATCATTTTTAATGCTCCCCGACACTTCGGCCTACTTTTTAACAAACGTCAGAAAGCACACCACTGGCAAAATTACCATTCCCTTACAATGTTAAAACTCAAGTCTAAGGAAAAACATGGCCATCCTGCAGCTACTTACAGGGGAAGATAGCTGGCTGGGATTGCGTTGAAACAACATTCACCAGTTCTCCAGTCTTGTAAATAATACACCCTTGAGATGTTCCTTTCCCCACCCAAACCCCAAGATAAAGTTTTGCACACGGTTGTGGATTCCAACTTGGAAATGTTCTCCTCTGCAAGTAACTACGCAACCATGATTTAGCATGTTACTCTTCTTTTAATATCTCTTTCTAGCATTATTCTTCCACTCTCTGGAGAACTTCGGTCAATATTCTACTGCTTGTCCCAGCCAGATGAGACTGACTCAACAAGATTTATTCAAGTGTTGATTCAGTGAACCTACTCTTTGTTGGGACCAGCAATGGGATACTGGTTTTAAAATTAGCTGTAGGAATCATCTCGGTAACCAGACATATCTGGCTCCACACACCTATTACATCCTTGCTTCATCATGCTTGATATCAGTAACAACCAGTGCTAGGACATTAGATTCAAGGAAATGTGTAATATTTGAGGTTGCATTCATTTGCAAACAAGTTATGTTTCACACTAGATAAAATGAAACACAAACATTAAATTCTTTGTGAGCCAGGTCTTCTAGATAAGCCCAAGAACCTTCACCTTGACTCAGACCTAGATTTTCATAGCTGCAACCTGTGTCATCTATCTGCAGCTGCTGTATCCTCCCAGGAGCCCTTATAAGGGGGTAAGTAATTCTTCAAGGCAAATGAATCTATCAGCAATAGTGTGTTATGAGGAATCATCACAACTGAGCATCCAACCATTTTTACTGTGCCATACCCAGACAGTTTTTCAGAAGGGGCCCACAATGTGTAAATAACCACACTAGCCACATTTATAGCATCTCTGGAGATGCTAAGTACTGGCACCGCATCTCAAATCTATCAAGTTTGTTCACTTTTTATTAACGAACTACTAAGATCTGTACCGGACAGTATTTTGAACAATCTTCTCAACAACTGATGCAGAAACAGATGCAAAACATATTTTTGAACTGTATGCTTGGGCATGAACGTCTGCAAACACAAAAACACAGGAAAAGTGCCTGACTCAAATGTCCTCTAGAGAGAAATCAGTTCAGAAGCAGAATACCATGTGTCCTAACATTGTGCTGTTAGTAAAAGGCATGAGTAGTCGATACTCCAGACTAAGAACTGTATTTCATAACAGCTCATGCCCTCACCCCAGATGTGACTTGTGAAAACAGCTTGTTGTTTTTTCTACATGTGTATTAGGACTACCTGAAAAGTTTTCCAGCATGCTATACCTTGTCTGATCCTGCTTTCTGCTCACATCCCACTGTTCGCTAGATTTGGCCCAGCACTCACGAATAAGGGCTCCACAAGACTAGATCTCTATGAAGATTTCACCTTGAATTACAGGATTTGAATCATCCACTCTGAACGTAGCATTGTAAACTGAAAAAGTATTAAACCCAACAAAGAGTGTTAAAACTTTAGTTCTAAGAAGGCGTCACTATGAGTGTTGAATCACATGTTTTCCTTTTTTTAAAAGTGAAAAAGTAGATAGGATGTGCTGATGGCGCCAGAGAAGCATAACATCTTCAGATGTCAGCAAAAAAACAGAATACAACAAGGATGGGCTTGTTAATGTTTCTTTTATTTTAAAACAATAATACTTTGCTTTCCCCCCCAGAAATGCAAGGTAGCTTACAACAAAAATATACAGTTGTAAGTTATCTTGTAAGTAAAGTAGCTTATACCAAAAACAAGTAGTCAATTTAAAAACACATATATTTTTAATTTATAACATAATTACAAATGTTAGAACACAAAACCAGTGACAGAATGCAACTGTAGTCAAGATATTTAAATATGAGAGAGATGGAGAGGCAGACCTTCAAAACGGTAAGTTAAAATTATGCTCTAAATAACTACAAAGGAAGATTTTTACTAGCCTCCAGAGAGTTATTAGTTGCAAAGCCTAGGTGCAGCCACTTTTAATGACCTTCTCCTTAGTCCCATTAACTAAGCATACCTCTGGGTGACTGGATATACTGGAAGGACTTTGAAGATTATCTCAATAGGTGGGCAGGTTGCTAAAGAGAAGGCAGCCCTCCAGATGTCTTGATCCCAGATCATTCGGGGCTTTAAAGATCATTCCTCCCACGACAAACAGTACTGGGGGAAAAACAGGAGACCTGAGTGGCTGTTCCCACAAAGGAATAACCTGTCCCCTGTATGCATCCCACTAACACTTAAGCTTCCGCAACAGCAACACTGAACATACTCCAATCCACCTCACAGCCTATCACTCTTCATGTAAAATGCAATCAAAGAATAGTAATATTGCCTTAAAAACTGGATGTCCTCCAGGCACTAACTAGGAAGATGACACAGACCCACAGACACCAGTTCAACAGCAACTTAGGAGTATAGAGCCAGTTAGCAACTTTTACCTAACTACTAGGCATTCTGACAGGGGACTCCTGACCAATGTCCATACAATATTATTTTGCTTAAATCCCAAGTTATTATCATTAAATATTTTAAATTTAAAATTCTCATGTTGAACACACCCTGAAACTAGTATGGCAGACAAATAATCAAAAATGCATAGGAATCTGGATCAGCACCAGTGATGTCAAAGCTGGGTGCCAGCACTAAAAGGTTTTAAGAGAACTTAACTCACAAATTGAGATGGAACATACTGTAAATCCAATATCAACTTTTAGATCTGAATGTTCTCATTATGCTTTTCAAAATTAGCTGTGATTATACTATCATGTGAAAATATGCTTTCCTCCTATCGCATAGTATTTTATCAAGCCTAAGCTTCTAAATAAGGAAATGTACATTAGAAGTGAGCAAGAAGAATTGAGGAGAATTCATTCCACTTCATGTCTTGAAAGCTCTAATTAAAATTCAATATTGCACTTTACATATGGGTTCTTATATGAAACTCCTGTCATGGCTAAGGCTTAAGGTTAACCAGGTTAATAGAGTCCAATAAAACAGTTCTATTGAATTATACCAAGCCACCGTAATACACCAAGCTGCAATCTGCTTCTCCTTTATTCCTGACCACTGCACTAAGATTTAAGCCAACAATATGTGGTTAGCATCCAAGAACTATTTATGTGTAGGATAGAAAGTTTCAAACGCCACCCCTCTTCCCTTGAAGAAAGTGCATATATTTACACCTCAAATATTTCCCTCCAGTCTGCTATGCCCATTGTCACAGTGTTATGTGTTAACAGATCTGAGCATACTTGCCAAGTATCACTCAGTTGAAACACAGACACTCCCCTCAATATGGATTCATTTTAAGAGCGGGTTTTTTTTCCTCTCCTTTAGGAGTCGCCTCCAATCCAGGGAGGATTTTATGAACATCCTTAAACCCAAGCACCTCAATTTTTAAGCCATGCCTCTTTGTTACGAAATGATCTCACTACACACTTTAATTTATACAGAGAAACACTGTTACCAACTGTATCATTTTACTACAGTTTTTCAATAAGCCCCAGTATTTATAAAATAGCAATCACAATCTTCTTGTGTAGCTTTGCCAACATAATGCCAACCACATAACTTTTGGAGATGAAGTGCTTCGAGTTAAGACTAACCTAAGACAATTTGCTTCCAAAAGTTATACCACCAGTGCAATGCTGGCATAACTATGCAAGAGGATTTGGGCCAACAATTACCATGTGCCTTAGCTACAGCTGGAGACACAGTGCTCAGGGGTTTCATACAAGGTCCCTGCATAGCAGCACAGACAAGGATATCAATCCTCTCCTTTTTTCACACAATGAACATACTGTAGATGCAAAATGAACTTAAAATGCTGGACATTACTTCAAATAAGAAAGCTACTACTTGTGTCAAAGATAATAAAGAAATATCACAGAAGCCAGCAAAGGTAGGTGCTTCCCATATGTTCCTTGCGGCCAATAATGTACATAATGCAAAGCTATACACATTTACGTAGCAAATACACTAGAGCCTTGTGATACATTCAAGACTGCTAAGTTTTATTTGGCAAAAGCTTTCTGGACTGCAGTACGTTTCAAGCACACCTTCTTTACAAATACCCTATGTATTACCATCTCTGAAAAATAATTAATCAATGAATTATACCCTATCAAGTCAACTCGGAGCTATGCCCAGGTGTTTTTTTTAATGCGAAAAGTACTCAAAATTGTTTTACCGAGGTCCAGTTCTGGGAGCACTCTGGGATTATGCAGCTTGCCCAATGCCACTACATGCTCCAGTTGATCTCATCTGACCCCTCTCCTATGAAGGATACTCAGGGGGTCTAAACTTTTGACCACTGGCTCCACAGCCAGGCACTCCAACCTACTGAGCTATACCAACTTCCCAACAACAAACCTCAAATAAGCCACTCACAAGTTTACACAGAAATGAAAGAAGCTATAGGTCAGGACAAGCCAACAAAGAAGTGGCATGTTGCAACTATGGACTCAATAGGCTTGTGCACGGATGCTTGATGAAAAGGATTTGAGACTACATCAACCAATTTTAATCTTCCAAACTGAGCATCATGTTTTACTGAGAAGTCTCGTAATTTGCCTTTGGAAACCTTCTGTTGTGAGCATGCAGGCTCAGCTACAAGCTAGTTAGGCACAGAGGCAAGTATGCAACAGCCTCAGCATGTGCAAAATGCTCAACAGATCCCACCCAAACAGCAAATTCCATCACATGGACTGCGAGCTGTTCTACAGAACCTACCATCAACTGAAGAACCGTACTAAGTACTGTGGAAAGTAAGGTATGGGTTCCTGTAATTTAAAAAGCAGCAACTTGCACCCAAATGCCCTCTTAATACATCCTGAGGCTGTAACATAAGAATAGTAAATGTGTCCATTTTTAATTTCTCACACAAAAAACAAAGGAAAAGGTGCTGACTAGCTAGGACCATCTAACCTAGTAACGTATACTCAGCCATTCCTCAACTTGACATTTACATCATGTGCTGACCTACAATCCCATTCATTCCCAGCCTGCAAAATTAGGTGACTGGATCATAGGAACCACCATCCAGCACATCTAGAAGGTGTCAGGGTGAAGAAGGGTGGTGTACTCTAGTAGCTGCTCCCTAGCATCTTGGGTAGAGTTCTTCCCAGCCGAAGAGAAATGGTTATATCTGTGCCTGCTGACAGAACTACCCACAGACGCCATTCTCCATGCAAAACTCTGCTGATCAATTGTATTCTTCCTTGAAAATCCATGGTCACTTTGTCTTGCCTATATTTACTAGCAGGATACAGGGAGGTACCAGAGAAACTAGCTAATCAGGCACCAAATTTTTAAGGCCCCTTCCCCATCCTCCTCACTGCTTAATAAAATAAGCAAAAGGAGGAAGGCCAGAAAGTTTTGCCCTCTGATCTGGAAGCTTGATGGCAGTTGTCTCCAACATGGCACCCTCCCAAAGACTGGATTCGGCTCCCCTCTGCCCCAGCTAGTATGGCCAATGGTCTGGAATGCTGGGAGTTGTGGTCCAAAAATATGATTGTGAGAAGCTGTTTTACAGTTGGAAGTGGGTTATCCTTAATGAAAACTAATGCCAGAATAAAATGTTTTCCTTATAAAATAATACTCTTTTGTTGCGTTTACTGCGACCAACTCAAAAGACGACTTCAGCAGACGCTGCTCCACTACACTAGAAGTGGTGGTGGTGGTGGTGGAGATGCAACAGTGAAAAAAGGGCAGGCACTCTGCACGGTCTCTGGAGTACTCTTCTTAACTGTTAATGTCGCCTGCATCAGGGCCCAACCGTGGCACATGAAACAATCTTGGAGCTCACATCCTAGTCCCGGTAAAAAAAAAAAAATGCGATACATGGGGGTGGGGTGGGGGCGAGACCCCTTGCCTTGGGGCAAAAGCTTGCCTCGAAGCAATGCAAACGCTAGGACGGCCGGCGAGGCCACGCCAGGCGCCTCGGGGCCCGAGGAAGGGCAGGCGGTCCCTGCCGGCTTTGGCACAAGAACCTCCCTCCCCCCTCCAGAAAGCAGCGGCGGCGGCGGGGCCTTCTTCCCGCTCTTTCTTTCGGG